CCAAAGTACAGTCAGAAACATGGAATGTTATAACACAGGAGGATTTGGCACACTGTGCCAGTTTTCAAAGATGCATCCAATTAATCCAAGTCTCCTGCTGGTTCCCGGAACACCAAAGTTTCCTCCAAGTCTACATCCAATTCCTTTTTGAAAGTTATTGGCATCCTTATTTAAGACGACTAATGTGTTTCTATCCTTTATTACAAGAGGAACTGAACGTACAAATAAAGATGTTATGCTTCAAGAGAAAATGGACTATGTAAAAGTATTACATAGGCTACAGCAATTGCAAATATAATTTCTTAGTTTCTAGTCCTCTGAAATGCCTAGTAAGTCACTCTGTTCAGAGGCAATTATGAAGAAGCAACAATTGCTGGACTTGCCAGCAATGCCCACATCCCATGAAAGAACAAATAAAGAGAAAAACTTAATCTCTAATATTTCTGCAAAGACAATAGAATAAAACAAAATGAACAGAAGTACCAATTATATTTCCACTAGTAGTTACTGTTCAATGTTTAAGTTGTAATTATGAAGAAAATGGACTTTCCTCCATGAACAAGGGTGGTCTAATATAAAAGTTCAAAAGCAGCACACAAATAACTTCCACTGGTTATTAAATTAAGGTGCTTAACTATAGGACAGTCATCAAAAAAAAATTGAAGAGCTAAAAGTAACTCTTTCAGAAAGCTGAAACAGGAATGTTGAGCTACATCACCACCTTCAGTACTAAATCATTCTACATTTAGATCTTGGAGTGCATTATGCTAGTGCCTTTTGGGGCAAATCGTTGCTGGAAAGGGAATTGAATAGGAATTAAAGACAAGGAAAGGAAACAAAATCACAGAAGAAAGGAAACGAGATTACAGTAGACAGAGTTAAACAATTTTATCTTTGGCCTTCACCAAACTAGAAATTTTCTTGAATCCCTCTGGGATTCTTTTTTAACTCTAATGATGAATTTGCAAAGTGATGGAACATCTAACATTATATTACCCACCCCAGCTAAAATGTCCAAGCCAAACATAGCCTTTTGATTCAGACACACAGAACCTGATCTTAAAAGAAGTAAGGCCCACCTTGTTTATTCTTCTTCTATTCTAACACCTAACACAGGAGCTAATTTCCTGACCACCCATAATTCCAGACAATTTATACATCAACTCTTTTATTTCTCCTTTCAGGTGCTTACTCCATTCTGTCAAGCACACATTCTTTATCAACATCAAATGTAGGAAAGCAAATCGTAAGACATGGCATCTAAGTGCACCATGCTTGGGAAGAACAGGAGACAATGGATTTGTAAGGTCCCCACCTCTTCACCACTGGGGCTTCCTTGCCTCAATTTTCCATCTGCAATAAACTAATTGATTAGCCTTAATCTCCGTTTCCAAAACTTTAAAGTACGAGGACTAGAAAGCGACACTGCCCATCTGCAAATGTTTCTTATGCATGCATATTGTTTCCCAGAACAAACTATACTTTTAAAAATTCCTACTTACATTTTGAACCAATCTATTGAGTACGTCCAGTTTAATAATGGCAGCTTCACAAACCCATCTTCAACAGTTTCATTCAATGACCTCAGGTTATGGCAGGAGATCGTAATATGACTGAGACACTGAAAATTAATATGGAAACACGGTTTAAAGGGATAAGGTTTTCTTACAGTATAATTTAATCCAGAGGGTTTACACCACACACTTGAAAATTATACCAGGGCATACCAGTACAGATCTGGGGATAAAAACATGTCAAGCATTAACAGCTTTGAAAACAGTTTTCACTGTGTACAACAAATGGAACTGTTAAAACTGAACTCCCTGGGAACTAGATGCACTGTACATCACAGTACGTAAGTAAGATTTGTTATTCGAAAAAGGGAGACTGCTAGCTGAAGCGTGCTTGACTTATGTTGTAATAAGCAGATGTTGTGGAATCTTAAATTATCATAATTCATTTGAGATTAGACTTCCAAGTAGACTTCAGCATACAAACATGTAACTACATGAAGCCTTGATTTAAAAACAATATAAATATCAGTAAAAGAGTTCGGCATAAACCAAACTTCAAACACATGTAATGATAATCACACATACGTCACATTTGCCAACTGGATAAATGCTTGAATTAGAAAACATACCACTGAAAGTTTCTACACTGTGCTGTTCCAGCAACACATGTAACTCACAGATACAATGCTTCACTTGGCTTACTGTAAATGCTAACTGTTACACATTAACTTATTAATGGACAGGTTGCAGAAACAAGCAGTGACAGTGTACTGTACGGAGCTCGTGGTGCATCTTTTCAACTTAAACTCAAGAATTTAAGAGCAATTTATATTTGTAATCTTTAAAAAATATCAATCTGAAGAAGGCAAAGCTTTACTGGTTATAGGGCAACGTACTGTGTGGTACAGAGCAATTCTAAACTGGAAGGTCCCTAGTCCTATGACCCACCTGCATTGTATCAGCTGATCCGGACAGGGCTGAAACTGGTCTTACTTTTTTGAGCTAGGGACAAGAATCAGATAGGATTCTAATTTTGTTCGCTACCCAGAAACGTGTACTGGAAGCACATGTACACAGTGACCAAGGATATGTCTGTTCGAAAGAACAGCTACATCAGACTCAATTTCTCTCACCACAGTTGCTGCCAGACCTGCTGAGTTTCTGCAGCACTTTCTGATTTCATTAAGAACAGGTCTGGTTGTGATCCAGATACAGTGTACTCCAATGCTTAAGTTAGGTCCACTTACTTGGACAAGTTACTGAAGGGCTATTTATCACCCTTGTTGCAGAACAGGATGACACAACAAAGTTTAGGAAAGATGGGGATGGAAAAAAAACAAAAACAGAAAAACAGATTCAAATTAAACTCCTTAATTAAGATCTTAATTTTAAATTCAATTTTACACAGTGTCAAAACTTTCGGTTCTCTATTAGCATGTTATAAAAGAACTGGTCAATTAAAGACACAAGAATCCAAACTCTACCAACAATTTTCAAAGGAAAGGAATACAAACTTATAACCAGTATAGAGACAAACATGGAAGTGGGATACAGAAGATTAGCTTCTTATAAACAAAATAAAAACTAGCTAGATGGTGAACATTTAGTGAGCATTTAGTGAACAAATAAGAATCTAAAATATGAATGTATCTGATTAATCTGTAGGACATGTTGGCACATTAATGTTTTTATTAAGGCACATGACATTGACAAAAAGAAAGCTGAGGTAAGTTATAAGCAACTAGACTCCACATTTAACAATATATTTGTCCATGGTGCAGTACTGCTTCCGGGAGGGAGACTCATGCTTTGTAAGTACCATTTTCAGTCAGCTTTTAGCTTGTTTCCTCTTCATAACCAGTTCAGCCAATAGTTTGTACCTGATTATGCATTCTTCCTGCAAGACAATAAAAAAAAATAAAAGTTTGGAGTGTGTTCAATAAGCAAGCTACAGCTACAAGTTGCCTTTTAAAGCTTGATCAACATCAAATAATGCTGACAGGGAGTTTGCGAAGAAAACAAAAAATGAGTATTCAGAACTGAAGCAAGTTTGAAAAGGTGCCAAAGGCTTAGTCAAGAAGTGATTTTATTAGAACCTGAAAAGGAGGCTGCTGAGAGGTAATTCCAAGTGTGGACATCATCCTCACATCTTTGTTATCTTCCAATTTTCCTTTTTCAAAACACCTCTGGCTGGTCTCCCATCTTTCACCACCCATTAATGAGTTCCATCCAAACCTCTGCCGATGATTTCCTAATTTATACAAAGTCACATTCACCTGTCACCCTTGTGCTTGCTGACCTACACTGGCTCCTAGTTGGGAAATGCCTCAGTTTTAAAATTATTATCCTTGTTTCCAAATTCCACTATGGCCTTATCCACTCATCATACCTGTAACTCCTCCAATTCTATAACCTTCTGAGATACCCATGGTCCTCATTTGAAACAGGGAATGTTGAGCAGAGATTTAATTCAGATGAAGAAAAATATGACTTCTGAATTGTTCATAGAAAGGACCTTTTCACTTAGAAGAGGTCATTAACAAAGGGACACAGAGTTAGGGAAAGATCTTTCTTGTCCAGGGGATATTGGTCAGGAAATCACTCCCTGAAAGGGCAATAGATTCATAAACTCTAATCAGATTTTCTGAAATGGCAGTGACAAAAGGGTTGAATGGCTGTCCTCTAAAATGTCTGATTTTAGGTGACACCCTTGGAGAGCTGAAATTCTTCTTGGAGCCCCAGAAATTAGAAGATACAACAAGAGTGCAGAGGGGAGACAAGTATCCATGCTAATGCAGGGAAAGAATTCCAGACTCCTTCCAGCATTCCTGAGATAAGCCCTTCTTCTGCAGTCTGACCAGAAAAGTATGCCTAAGAGCAGATTTGTTAAAATTGACTTAAAGACTCAGTAAGGATAGATGTAAAAACATGGTTATAATGGCCCTGTTTACCTGCACTTTGCAAACCATTAAAGTGGAAAGATTGAAAGGCACAATAAATTAGCAAAATCCACTCAATGAGATTAAATAAATTTGGGCAATCTCCGGTTGTAAATGTGTGAACAGTTTGCTCTTGAGAAGGTGGTGGCCATCTTCATAGATCCAGTCGTTCAAAGAAGGTGGTTTATCAACACCTCCTCAAAGGAAATTAGGACTGTGCAATAAATGCTATTCTGGACAACACCCATCCTGTGAATAAATATAAAAAAACTTAACCTAATTTGATTTTAAAAAGACCACAATGCATTCTGCTCATTAATCAAAAAACAGAGAGAATTACTTGGGCTCTAAAAACAGTGGGTATCAAAATCAGGATAATTCATAATGACAAGTTCAGATACTCAGGATTTAAATCACATTGATGCAAGTGAAGTACTGGAAAAATAGTTGTGCATTTGGTAACCTGGCCAAATTTGATGTGGACATTATAACTTCATGGGCCTTTTAACATGCAGTACCTACGGTTTAGTTTATATATAAATGAAGTACATAGTTAAGTTCCGTTACCTCCACTCCACACTATTGTTTCTCACTGATTTCACCAAGTCATGATTTCAACCATGTATTCCAACCAACTGTGCTGTTTTTATCAACTGGCCACTATAAAGAATGTTGTAATAAATGCTGAATTGTTTTGCTTCTCCACTTAAAGAAGGGGATGTAGTGGTGGAGTGGTAATGTCACTGGACGAGAAATCCAGAAACCCAGCTAAATTAATGTTCTTTGGACATGGATTCAAATCCCATCATGACAGATAGTGAAATTGGAATTCCATTAAATAAAAAGACATGAAAAGAAAAGCTAGCTCAACAGTGACCATATAAATACAATCAATTGTTTCAAAAACCCATTTGGTTTGCTACAGTTCTTTAGATCTACCATCTTTACCTGAACTGGCTTATATGCAACTGCAGATCCACAGCAATGTGGTTGACTTTTAACAGCCCTCTGGGCAATCAGTGCTGGCCGAGCCAGCAACACATCCTGTGAACGAATTTATACGTGTAAAAATAAAAAAATCTTTGAACCTCCACACTATTGCACCACATCTGTTTCCACATTTTCCATTTTAAAGGATGGAAAATCTTGAAACTGGCATTCAAATTGGAAAGTTATGGACCAATTTATGCATATACATACTTTGGCAACAGAGCAGCAAGGGAAAGAAGACAGATTAAAAGGAAGTAGGAGTTATCGTCCAAAAAAAAGTTCTCATTTCCCCACCTAAAAGTTGCATTTATATATTTGGAGTTAGAACCCTTTTCAGGAACATCATTTTTTAAGTACAATATTTTAATTACAAATATTTAAATTAATTTGTATTATATTCACTACCAAAACCTTTCAAGTTATTTTGAAACAAAGAACCAAAACACGAATGTACAAACTGACACACTGTGAGGCAGTTTTGTAACGATGATGGATCTAGGTGTGCCATTAATAGAGAACAGTACCTTTGTTTTTCCTGGTACACATTTTGCTATTTTGTCCCAGCGTTCCGAAGTCCCCTTTGGATACTGTTGCAAGGCTAACTCAAGCAGTTTTTGTTGATTTTGGTTCCATAATTCAGCAATTTCTTCTGAAGATCGTATCTTCCATTTCCTTTTCTTCTCCTCATCACTATCATCATCCAGTTCTGTGTTATCAAAGTCCCTTTGGCGCCTTCCTTTCGGTTTATGTTCAATTTCATCTTGGATCATAAGAGTTCTCTCTGATGTTTTTGCATTTTTTCGTTTCCGTGGTCTAGTCTCTGTGGACAATGCCTCAGTGTAGTTATCTTGATCATCTGCATTTTCAAATTCATTTTCTTTTTCAACTTCCTCATCCCTTTTAGTGATTATGTGGTCAGGCAGGACTGTTTCACGTTTGGCACTCATTACAGTCTGGGATACAGACTTCAGATCCAATAGTTTTATTGTTCCTAAATAAAAACAAAAATGGATTAACATTGCACATAGTTTAAGTTTTGGTTTAAAACAATATTTGTGTGAACAATTTTACCTCTTTATACATATCTATGCAGGTGAATATGAGATTATCTGCAACATGCATGTCCTCTACCCCACCCAGCCCTGCCCCGCCCCACCTTGAAAGAACTTTTGCATATAAATGGATCATTGTCATCATGTGTCGAAGTTCATGGATGGGTGGCCAGCCAGGAGAATTTCAGAAAAGTCAAGTCTGGAGGTAACAAACATTGTTTTAAGGTTTTCACTATTAAATGGGGTTGAAGCATGGAAAAATTCAGATGTGACAAAAATATCAGCACTGGAAAGAAGATGGAATCAGTTCAGCATCAAACAGGATGTAAAGCTTGCAGAGAATCTGGTTTGGCTACAGATATTAGCTGTATTGATAGAAAAGTGTGTGAAGGATACAGAGTTCATGGCAGTACTTAAAGGTTATGGCTTCAATCTTCCTAAAATTTAACTGGAGAAAAGTAAGGTGTCAGCCAACACAAAATTCACTGGAAGTATTGATAGGATTGGATGTTGTTAGCTTATTAGTAGAGTTTAGCCCATTATTTTTCAATTATTTCACAAATGGACAGCAGGAAGCTGAGCAAGAGGAGGGGGTCAAGGATAAAACCTTGGAGTTTATAGAGGTAACAGTACCTATGCAAAGGGAAGCTTGTTGAACAGCCTCTGACTGCAATTGGATAACAAACTTCATACTGGAGTGTAATAAGAGCAATGCCACTGAGGAAGATGATGGGGAACAGGAGATGCAGAAGGATAGTGTTTTAAACCATGTCAAAGGTGGCAAAGAGCTCTCATGTTAGAGATATAAAAGACACATTTTGTGATGCATTTCAGTGCCATGGCAAAGGCAAAGACCTGATTGTTGAGATTCCCTCAATGCTACAGGTTAAGGAATCTCACAGCAGTACAGGCTAAGTATGTTTTAGTCTTTCAAAATGGGTAGTACAGTTTGTTCATCTTTTGGTTAGGACAGGGAGTTCAGATAGTGAGTAAGTTAGGGGAAGCTATTTGTTAGAAAGTAATAACTGCAATTTTTGGGTAGCTAATTAAAATTTAATTTGTAAACTAACAAACAATAGAGGGTTAATCATGTCAGTTAGTGGGGCTTCGTGTTCTGCCTGTGAGTTGTGGCAAAGGTACATATTCTTCACTGTATTTTATATTGAATACACATGACAATAGAAGGATATTGTATTGGCGACCAGAACTGCACACGATATTGCCAATACAGTCTAACTAAAGTTTTACGCAGCTGTAACATAATTTGCCAACTTTTATATACAATGGCCCAGCCGATAAAGGCGTGCTATATGCCTTCTTGACCACCTTGTCCACCCGTATTGGCACTTCCAGGGATCTGTGGACCTGTATGCCCCAATTGCTCTGTATATGAATGCTCCTAAGGGTTCTGCCATTTATTACGTAATTCACATGTGAATTTGATCTTCAAAATGCATCACCTCGCATTTGTCCAGATTAAACTCCATCTGCCATTTCTTGGTCCAAATCTGCAATCTATATCCTGCTGTATCCTTTAACAATCCTCCTCACTAACTGTAACTCTGCCAATTTTGGTGCGATCCGCAAACTTACTAATCAGACCACTTACATTTTCCTCCAGATCATTTATACATATATCAAACAACAAAAGGTCCCAGCACTGATCCCTGTGGAACACCACTAGTTACTGATCTCCATTCTGGAAAGCACCCTTCCACCGCTACTCTCTGTATTCTATGACCAAGCTGGTTCTATATCCATCTAGCCAGCACACCCCAGATTACATGGAACTCTACCTTTTATACCAGCCTCATGAGGTACCTTATCAAATGCCCTTAGTAAGTACCATGTAGATAACATCCACTGCCCTTCCCTAATCGATCATCTTGTCACTTCCTCAAAAACGTCAATCAAGTTGGTGAGACATGACCTCCCTCGCACAAACCCATGTTGCCTACCACTAACAAGTCCACTCACTTACAAATGTGGATAAATCCTGTCTCTCAGTATCTTCTCCAACAGCTTCCCTGCCACTAACATCAGGCTCACCAGCCTGTAATTACCTGGTTTATCTCTGTTTCTCTTCTTACAGAGAGGAACAACATTGGCCATTCTCCAGTCCTCTGGAACCTTGCCTGAGACCAAAGAGGATGCAAAGATATCTGTTAAGGCCCCAGCTATTTCCTTCCTTGCCTCCCACTGGGATAGGTCCCTCTCTGGTCCTGGGGCCTTCACTACTTAATGCATTTCAAGACACCCAAAACTTCATCCCTCATGTCCCACTCTTTGGTGAGTACTGATGTAAAGTACTCATTAAGAATCTCACCCATTTTCTTTGGGTCCACACAGAACTTCTCTCCTTTATCCTTGAGTGGGCCTACTCTTTCCCTAGCTACTGTCTTGATCCTAATCTATGTATAAAATGCCTTGGGATTCTCCTTAACCCTGCTGGCCAAGGAGATTTCATGGCCCCATTTAGCCCCTTACTCGCTACTTTTAGTTTCCTAGACCTTAGGTACGCTACCTTTTTTTGACTAAGCTGATAATTTCCCCTGTCATCGAAGGTTCTTGAACTCTGCCATTCTTTTCCTTCATTTTCACAGGAACATGCCTGTCCCGCACTCTAATCAACTGGTCTTTAAAAGACTCCTGCATGTCAGATATGAATTTACCCTTGAAAAGTCACTTCCAATCCATGTTCTCCAATTCTTGCCTAATTCAGTTATAGTTGGCCTTACCCCATTTTGAAACCTTCATCCAAGGTCCATTCTTGCCCTTATCCATATGTATCTGGAAACATACACAATTAGGGTGACTATTACCAAAATGATCCCTCACTAAAACTTTGATCACCTGTCTGGGCTTATTTCCCAACATCACGGCCAATATGTCCCCCTCCCTCATTGGACTACCCACATACTATTTTAAAAAAACCCTCTGGACACACCTAACAAATTGCTCCCCATCTAATCCCCCCACACTAAGTGAGTCCCAATCAATATGGTGAAAGTTAAAATCACCCACCACAATAAACCCTGTTATTTTCACATCTTTCTAGAATCTGATTACATGTCTCTTCTTCTATCTCCCACCGGCAGCTGGGAGGTCCGTAATACAATCTCAGCCTTATGACTGCACCCTTCCTATTCTGGCAGTGCATTATGATGTTGAGAAAGTTTTTAAATGAAGAATCCTCATACCCGGTGTGCTCGAAACAAAATCTTTGACTTGTTTAGCTTTTGTTGTAACCTATATTAAAAGAAAAATACACAGTTTACTTCTCACTAAGCATTTAATTCATTATTAAATTCAGCCATATGAAGTCACAAGTATTTTCAAACTTACAAGCAAAAGCTGTGAACCATTTCAATTTTCATTACATTTTAGGTTTTCATTTTGTGATTGTTTTGGTCATCTACATTACCAATCTGTCATGTGCTACCACAGGGCTTCCCAAAGTTTGGATCGTGTGTTTTGAGGCAGCGATGGTTGGCATTGAATTTTGAGTGAGTTCTTACAGCCATATTATAAGACCATAAGACATAGGAGCAGAAATTACGCCATTTGGCCCACTGAGTCTGCTCCGCCATTCAATCATGGCTGATAATTCCTCAAACCCTGCTTTCTCCCCATACCCCTTGATACCTTTGATAATTAAGAACCTATCTATCTCTGTCTTAAATGTACTCAATGACCTGGCCTCCACAGCCTTCTGTGGCAGTGAATTCCATAGATTCACCATTCTCTAGCTGAAGAAGTTTCTCCTTATCTCCATTCTAAAAGGTCTTCCCTTTACTCCAAGGCTGTGCCCTTGGGTCCTAGTTTCTCCTACCTATGGAAGCATCTTCCCAACATCCACTCTGTCCAGGCCATTCAGTATTCTGTAAATTTCAATTAGATCCCCCCTCATCCTTCTAAACTCCAATGAATATAGTCCCAGAGTCCTCAAACATTCCTCATATGTTAAGCTTCTCATTCCTGGGACCATTCTCGTGAACCTCCTCTGAACCCGCTCCAGGGCCAGTATATCCTTCCTGAGATATGGGGCCCAAAACTGCACACAATACTCCAAATGTGGCCTGACCAGAGCCTTATAAAGCCTCAGTAGTACATTCCTGCTTTTATATTCAAGTCCTCTTAAAATAAATGCCCAACATTGCATTTGCCTTCCTGACTACTGACTCCACCTGCAAGTTTACCTTGAGAGAATCTTGGACTAGAACTCCCAAGTCTCTTTGCACTTCAGATTTCTGAATTTTCTCCCCATTTAGAAAAGAGTCCATACTTCTATTCTTCTCACCAACGTGCATGACCTCACACTTTCCCACATTGTGCTCCATTTGCCACTTCTTTGCCCACTCTCCTAGCCTGTTCAAATCCTTTTGCAGCCTCCCCACCTCCTCAATACTACCTGTCCCTCCACCTATCTTTGTATCTTATGCAAATTTAGCCAGAATGCCCACAGTTCCTTCATCTAGATCATTAATGTATAAAGTGAAAAACTGAGGTTCCAACACTGACCCTTGCGGAACACCACTTGTCACCAGCTGCCATCCTGAGAAAGACCCTTTTATCCCCACTCTCTGCCAGACAGCCAATCTTCTATCCATGCTAGCACCTTGTCTCTAACACCATGGGCCCTTATCTTACTCAGCAGCCTCATCAGCTTTAACAAGCCTCTGCTCTCTCGGTTCTTCCCGAGGGACCGTGACAATTTTTAAGCCTTGAAACGGGGTAAAAGTTGGGAAGCATCTCTTTGTGACCATACCTAAGTTCACAGTCACAAAAACTCTTTCAGACCTAATCCACAAAGATACCTCAAGCATCCTATTGTCCACCCTTTTGCGTAGAATTTGTCGGATTTCATTTATGTTGAGATTGTACTTTTTATGAAGAGAACATACATCTTAACCTTTGTGAGCTTATTTGCTTATTGCACGCTGCCTGACCAAACGTAGTTTCAAACCAAACAGCCTGTCCATCAGGAAAACCAGCTACTTCCAACTCCCCAACAAGATGCTGTATTTATAAAGTATCTTGGTTCAAGAAGTCGGTTTTAAGCAGTGTCTTCAAGGAGGAAAGTAAGGTGGAGGGAGACTATCCCAGAGCTTGACACCTAGACAACTGAAGGCATAGCTTCAATGGTTTTTTTTTGTTGTTCATTCAAAGGAAGTGGGCATGGCCAACTGTGCAACCATTTATTGCCCATCCCTAGTTACCCTTTAGAAGGTTGTGGTGAGCTGCTCTCTTGAACCACTACAGTCTATTTGGTGTAGGTACACTTAGAATGCTTTAAGGGTGGGAGTTCCAAGGTTTTTACACAGCAATTTTGAAAGAATGACAATATATCTCCAACTCAGCATTGAGTGGCTTGGAGGGGAACTTGCAGGTGGTGGTACCTCCATGCATCTTTTGCCCTTGCCTTTCGAGGTGGTAGCAGCCATGTGTTTGAAAGATTCAACTGGGGAGTTTTGGTGAATTTCTGCAATATATCTTGTAAATGTTAGGCATTGCTGCTATTGAGTGTCAGTGGTGGATGGAGCACATGCTTGTGAACATGGTGCCAAACAACCAGTCTGCTTTGTACTGGATGGTGTCAAGCGTCCATGGATTGGTCAGCTATAGTCAGAGGTTTGTCATGATGTAAAACATCACCTTGACATTGCAGCTTCAAGCAGCTGCCACAGTGACTGACACAATCTGTGGCAACGAAATGAAGTTAGTAACTGGGTTCGAAATAAATTGCTAGGCATTCCCAATTCTTAGTGTTATAAAGCGGAGGTTGACCACTCTCTAATAACTAAAACGGAAGCTCCCAAAGAGGTTCGCCCCACCCTATAATCTGTTAACAGTAGTGTGTAGGTGGTATAACATGCCTTCACCTTCAAGCTCAAGGGGAAGGTAAATGAAATGAACTCCTGACAGTCACTCTATAATCAACAAGTAACAGTTTATTTATCTAACTCTAACAGTGAACAAATTAACCAAGCTACTAACAAACCCAACAATTCCACCCCCCGCAACTGCCAACTATTCCCAATAAAACAAATTTCTAATGCTATGCTGTTCCAATAAATACAATTCCCATTTATCTAAATCAAATTTATTTTAAAAACTTAAAACTTAGTCTCTCAAAATTACAGCCAGGATAGGTCTTCCGGAATGTTCAGTGCCTTCTCTGTTGTTCTTCAGTCAGGAACACTTTTCTCCGTCAAATTCTTGGTGTCAGGAATATTAGCCAAGAGTTCTACTGTACCTTTAGTCTTTTATACCCTTGATGATCTATCAATTCTTATAGTAGAATTGGTCCTAGATAGCCAAAACCATCAAATTTAAATTTAATTGATTTTCAATCTCTAAGTGCCTGGTTTAAATTAATTGGCTGATTCAGACTGGTTGCCTTAATAACAAAACAAAACTGCTGCCTGGGTTGCTAACCACACAGCCTTTGATACAAATGTTTCAATTTCAGGAGCTCTCTGTACATCTGGAGACATGTTTTTAAATCTCCAAGACTACAAAAAGCACATTATCTTTTAAAGAGATCACGCAGTCTTCCTCCCGATAATGTCACAAACATCATATTCTAACATCTTGCCTTCTAATCCACAAATATTCTACCCAACTTCGCAACACCCCCCCCCAAGAAAAAGATGAACCACCATGATGATAAGAGGACTTCATTTTTTTCTTTCCTCAACCTTAATGCCATTATTATTAGATCCATATCTCATTAATCTAGAGTTACACATCTCATACTAATTCTACATACATACAACATTGAACACTACGGTTTCTATCTTATATAGACATTTTCCTTTTAAACCCACGATAACTCACCACAATAACATTTTCACAACTCGCAACATTTACAATCAAATTAAATGCTTGAAACATAAGGCTCCAATGAAATACTCTGGCGCTCTTATCTTTAAATCTTTCTAAAAATGTCAAAAGTTTGTGATCAGTGTACACTGTTTGCAACATAAACATTAAATTGTTGTTCAGGCCAGTACCAAACTCAATAACTCTTTTTCAACGGTTTCTCTGGTAGATATTAAGTTTCTTTGAAAATTAACAGATCGGCCTTTCAATTCCACAATCATCCTCCGGTAATAACACAGCTCCAACCCCCATGTTGCTTATGTCGATAGCGACTTTTTTGGGTTTCAAGAAATTTGGTGTGGCTAAAACTGGTGGCTCAGTCCCAAAAATTGCAGCACCTCTTTTTTCCAGGATGGTCTTGGAAAATCCTCGAAGGCCTTCGTCTTCAGGTTCCATGGTGTCATCCGTCCGTGTCCAATGCTGCACCCAAAGAACGTCACTTCTGCCTTCTGTTTTTGGCCAAATCTATGACCAACTTTGTCTTCCATAGTCTCTCAAGCAGCTCTGCAAAATGCACCATGTGATCTGTCCACGAGTGGCTAAAGATCCCTAAAGTCATCTATATGAACGGCACAATTGGTCAATCCTGCCACAACTCTGTTAATAAGTCTTTGAAATGTGGCTGGTGTGTTCTTCATTCCAAAGGGCATTACTTTAAATCGATACAGTCTACTTGGGGTTACAAACGCAGAAACCTCTTTCACTCTCCAACAAGGGTAATTGCCAGTAACCATGAAGTAAGTCCGGCTTAGTGATGTAAGTGGCTTGTCCTACTTTTTCCACACAGCCCTCTAGCCTTGGAATTGGGTATGAGTCTGATTTAGTCACGGTGTTGACCTTCCGATAATCTATGCAGAATCACTGAATACCATCAGGTTTGGGAACCAATACGATTGGTGAACTCTACTTGCTTTGAGTAGGTTCAATGAAGTCTTCTTGGAGCATCACGTCCACTTCCTCTGTACCCAAGACTAAGCCTGTAGGAGTATAAATCACTGAGATAGAAAGAACTGCAGATACTAGAGTCAGAAATAACAAAGTGTGGAGCTGGAGGAACACAGCAGGCTAGGCAGCATCAGAGGAACAGAAGAAGGGTCCCGACCCGAAACGTAAGCTTTCCTGTTCCTCTGATGCTGCCTGGCCTGCTGTGTCCCTCCAGCTCCACACTTTGTTAAGCCTGTAGGAGTGTTGTTTTATCGGAACAGCATTCCCTATGTCAACCTCATGAACTATAGTATTAGTCCTCCCCATTCTATTTCTACACACATCCTCAGTGCTGCAACAAGCTTTTCAATTTAGTTCTCTGTTCCTGAGGCAGATAGCTGACCACCTATCCCATTCTCTAAGGACCTCCTCATTATTCA